TCGCTGATCGTTTGAGAATTGCATTCTTGCATATATGCACAGTTGCGATCAAAATCTTTGTAGTGATTCTGCTAATTAAATACAAGTCATCATAAATTTGTATTTCAGACTATTTTTCGATTTCACTGCGAATACTGTGAGGTTAAGGCGCCGGCATGACGATGTACATTGGTTTGTTAAGCTATAATTATTGTTGTTATTGCAATCGGCTAAGTTTTGAGGAAAAATGTGTTTTTGATCAATCAAATTCTTAGTAGCGCAATCAAGAATAGTTCAAAAATATGTAAATTCTTTTTGCTTTTGGGACTAAAAAATTAAAGAAACGGTAAGAACTATTTCTGTTATCACTATTCTGTTATACATATAAATTTTTATAAATTTAGATCATGCTGCATGTAGTGATGTCAAGAAAAAATAATTGTACACCGGAGATACGGGCTCTTATTAAAAATCTGATTGGCGATAGAAAAACCTACAGAGAAGTGCAAAACATCGTTGGTTGCTCCCCCACGATGGTCCGAAATACTATAAAGTACAAGCCGGGCGTCGAAAAACGCGGGCGGAGCCACAGAAAAGTGCCCTTGCTGACTAAACAACATGTGGGCGAACAAAGACAAAAGTCCAAAGAGCATTTGACTTGGCCTTTGACCAAATGGGGAAACATATAAAATGTCTGACGAGTCAAAAATTGTTCGCTATGGTGGAAAGGGTTCAAGGCATTTTGGAAGACGTCCATCCAACAGCGCACTTAATCCAAAATATACCACTAAAACGGTAAAACATGGTGGATGCAGCATTAAGGTTTGGGCATAATTTTTGTGGTATGGATTTGGACCCATTCATTGAATCAAGGAAACCATGAATGTTGCTCAATACGCCCAAATCATGCAGGAGGTTATGCTCCCATACGCCAGCGAGGGAATGTCACTGATTTGGATTTGGGGTTTGGAGACAACCGAGTAACTGTTATAGAATGGCCTTCAGTCTCCTGACATTAACCCGATAGAAAATTTGTGGACTGATGTAAAGAAATCGGTCTCTGACTGTTGTTCTACAGTTATGGAAATCCGTAAAAACTGTTTGGAACTCAATTCCAGTTGAAAGGTGCCAAAATCTGGTGAATGATTATACAACTAAAACTAAATTAATGTATAATAAGTAGTTAATTGATAGCTAATGTAAATAAAAAAGACTTCATTCAACCTAAATAAAAAATGCTTTAAAATACACAGTATAACGTGTAACGCTGCTATGATTTTGACCGCTTAAAAGCTTAGATTTTCGTAAAAAGTATTATTATTTTTTTTTTTTTTTTTATAAACAAGTGGCTTCAGTTTTTTTAAATAGCTTTAATTAGTCTTTTAATTACTAAAAAAATTAAACTGGTTTTGGTTAGCAACTGCATGATTTTTTTGCAACTGAATTTAGGTCTTGTCCGCGCTACTAAGATTATGACCCCAGCTGTATGTATGAATGCAAAAATATTCATGCATATGGATTTGGATTTTTTTATATAAAAATACAATATAATTTCCTTAAAAAATAACTTCATTAACACTATTTAAAAAATGATTAATTGAGTACAGAATAAAATTACCTTTCATTTGATACACAAATTGTTAAAAGAAATTTCTGTACATATTGCATTTTATTTGAATTAGCAATAAAAAAGAAATCTCTTAAGAATACTGTGTGCGAAGCTGGCACTGGTTCGGCTGCTAAATAGTTTTTCCCGGTACGAGGGATCGGTATTCTGCACTTGTTACCAGAAACGAATATGCGTTATATAAATATAATTTTGCTTGAGTTCGGTGAAACCATTTTCGAGTTAAAAGGTAACAACAAAAACATGAACTTATTTTGGATATAATGCCCAGCCCCTTTTCCAAGTGGAAATTGTCATATAAGCCTGTTGCGCAATATCCGACATATGATGCGTAAATTTCGGTTGGAATCGGTGAAGACGTTCGTAAGTTATAAGCAAAAACACTAAATTGAAATATCTCCTCATATATAGTACGAATACTGCGAGGTTTTCAAACTTCTGTTTATATCCGACGAAAGGGTCAAATATCTCCCTTCCGCTTTTTTGTCTTTTGAATTTCGCGGCTATGTACAAAGCGCTACAGAGCTCGCATCTGGCAACACTATACATGATTTGAAAGGTCTTGACATAACCTACAAAACAACGCTATGCAACAGTTATAGACGTGTAAACATGGACTTCACTAACGCCGAAATTCGCGCTATTTTAAAGTTTTCCTTCGTTAAAGGCAAATCCGCTAGAGAAACGTTCCGTGAGATTAATGGTGTTTTGGGGGATGGTACTCTATCACTTCGAGCCGCGGACGAATGGTTTCGACGATTCAGAGCCGGTGAAAACGACATCATGGCTAATTCAGCCGGCGGAAGACCTGTGACGACAAATACCGATCAAATCATGGAATACATCGAGTTAGACCTGCATATGGCATCTGGTGACATCGCCCAGGAGATGGGAGTTAGTCACTAAACCATTTTGACCCATCTGCAGAAGGCTGGATACAAAAAAAAGTTTGATGTTTGGGTGCCGCATAATTTGACGCAAAAAAGCCTAATTATCTGCTACTGAAACGGAACGAACTCGACCCATTCTTGAAGCGGATGGTGACTGGCGATGAAAAATGGATCACATACGACAATATCAAGCGAAAACGGTCGTGGTCGAAGGCCGGTGAATCGTCCCAAACAGTGGCCAAGCTGGGATTGACGGCCAGGAAGGTTTTGCTGTGTGTTTGGTGGGATTGGAAGGGAATGAACCACTATGAGCTTCTCCCATATGGCCAGACGCTTAATTCTACCATCTACTGCGAACAACTGGACCGCTTAAAGCAGGCGATCGACCAGAAGCGTCCAGAATTGGCCAACAGGAAGGGTGTAGTGTTCCACCAGGGCAGCGCCAGACCACACACTTCGTTGATGACTCGTCAGAAGCTACGGGAGCTCGGATGGGAGGTTTTCGCATCCACCATATAGCCCGGACGTAGCGCCAAGTGATTACCACCTGTTCCTGTCCATGGCGAATGCCCTTGGTGGTGTGAAGTTGAACTCAAAAGAGGCTTTGAAAAGTGGCTGTCCGAATTCTTCGCAAAAAAGGAGGGGGGCTTCTACGAGGAAGGTATTATGAAATTGCCGTCTAGATGGAAACAGATCATCGAACAAAACGGCGCAGAGTTATAGTTGAAAGAAATTTTTTACCGATAGTGGCAGGAGAGAAAACTTTCCGAGACATTGTCGTTTTATGAGGATTTTACTGCACAACAGGAATCGAAATAGCCGATGCATCCAACCGTAAGTAAGATGAAACCTAAATTTAAGTGTTTCAAACCGGTTTCTTTTTTTTAAGTGAAATTCTGCTGATACTACGTTTTAACCGCTATGTGCACTCACTGACCACACCCTTTCTACGAGCATATTACATAAAGTGCATTGTAAAACTAGCCTGAGTATTGATAGTTACATGTTCGTATGAACATACATATGTATTTATGTATGTGTATTTGTCAATATAACTCATTTCATCTAAGGATCCAAAGTAGTAAATGGAATTGCAAATTGAAGCAACTCTAAAAGAGTTTCTGGCATTTGTCCAACGATTCTCAGCCAAAATGATTTTGACAAGTAGTTAGGCAACAGCCTCCCAAGTAGTTTTTGGCCGCTATTTCGACCACCAATATTACAGCTCGTAAGTAGTTGTGTATTTTTATAACTTATTTTGTTTTGTTAATGAGAAGAAAATGGGCTACATTGTTTAGTATATGTATATGTAATTTAAAGGTAACTGTGCCTTTCTTTTAATTGCAAAATTAACTAAAAATGGAAGAGTACTTTAGTTTTGAGTGTTGTATTCAGAAGCACTCAATACAAAGGAGATATTACATTTAGAATGTAAATATGTATTTAATTTAATTTTTTTTACAGTTATAAGCTGTCACTTTTAGCTTGTTATAGCGTGATATTTTACTTTATTTTTTCCATAAAGGAAAAAATGCACCGCAGTTTTTCGGATCGTGATGTAACTAATCGTGAGATTGGAGAGAAGTTCCACAAACCACTTTAAAGGCTGATATTCACCAAAAGAAGATTATGCTGTCAGTTTGGTGGGATTTTAAGAATGTGGTAAATTTTGAGCTGCTCTAAGGAACCAAACGATTAATTGCGATGTCTACTGTGAACAACTGAACAAATTGAATATATCCATCAACGAGATGCGGCCAAAGTTGGTCAATCGTATAGGAGTCATATTCCACAAGGACAATGCTAGACCGCACACATTTTTGGTCACTCGCCAAAAGCTGAGAGAGCTTGGTTGGGAACTATTGATGCATCCACCATATAGCCCTGACCTTGCACCGTTAGACTAAAATTTGTTTCGATCTTTACAGAACTCATTAAATAGTAGAACTTTCGGAAATGACGAGGTCATAAAATCGCACTTAGATCGGCTTTTTCCATGTAAAGACCAGAAGTTCTATGGAATATGATGGTGAATAATGATGTTGCCGGAAAGATGACGAAAGGTCAGCCAACAAAATTATTGATTAATGTTTATTACAAAATTAAAAAAATGTATTTACTTGTGTTTAAAATTTGAGGAAACCCGATATTAATGCTTCAATATGAATGATATACTAGCAAAAGAAGTCATCAAATGTTATTTTTATTAAATTTGATTGAAGGATATCAACGATTTAAATAAATAGTAAAGATACACGTTTAACGGAAATATAGCGACAGTGAAGTGGAATCATCGCCCGCACACCACACACTCAGCATTTAAAAATTTTTTTAATAGAATATTAAATTTTGTGTACAATGCAAGCTAGATTTTTAATTCCTTGTGTTGGCCAATTAAGTTGCAAAAAAATTGTTAACATATACGTACTTTAATTTGTCTAAAAAAAAAATCATAAATACTTAATATATGTATGTATGTATAAAATATCATATTAAATTCTCACTTGTACTTGAAACATGGTCACCGAATCATCCAACATCTGTATGCGAACGGTTAACTTTTTGCCACCACGATGTCGAGGAGTGGAGGGCGTACCATCGACCCCAGACGGAGTACTTAGCGAATGTGTCATACGTCCACCTGGTACACCCATGCTAACATCCACACCGCTGAGACCAACACCACCACCGCCGCCGCCGCCCATGCCGCCATCTCGAGTCGCTGTACCCATATCGGCCAAAGACATTTTATAGACCAGAATTTTTATGGATTTTCAACACAAATTGTTTTACTGACGGTTGTAGATGCACTTCAAGCTAAAGTATATTGTAAAAACGGACTTATATTCTTGCTTGAAACACAAACTCTTCTTTCCGATTACATTTATTTTTGTACTGTTTATGACTTTGATTAAGTGAATTAGGTTGGAATTGATCTAATAGCTTAGTATTTATATATTAATAAACTGATAACGCACTCTTCTAGTCACACAATTAATAAACACAACTTTAAAGATACCTATTGCTACTATTATATTTAAAACAAATTTTATTTTACAATCATTAGCCTACGTATTTATTGCACAATTTAATCAAACATGAGCATCATATAATATTATTTTCACATTGGATTTGTTGCTTCCTTGCTCGGATCATTTGCTTTGTATTTTTCAACATTTCTTTCTTCTATTTTCCCGAGTGTATTTTATTTGGAATGAATGTGGGCGTTTTATATTTTCGATTAGTCGATTAACTGGTTTCTACGTTTTCTTTTGTTTTTTTTCTTTCTTTTTTTTTGACCAAGTTTAATTTCGTGGTTTTGTTATGCGGCAAGTTTTATTTTTAAATTTGTTTAAAACAAGTTAAAATCAATTTATATTAAACTAAATTTTACGTAAATTGGTATGCTCAAATAACTGTTTCGTTGTCCGTTGACCCTTTACTCCCAAAGGGGCTTATATTACATTATCGATTTAGTGTATTGATTTGGTTATTTAGCATCGCATCCTCGGAAGTGCAATTGATAAATGGTCTTCAATAATTTTCGTTGATTTGAAAATTTTCATACGATAATTGTAAGACCTGCAAATATAAAAAACACAAAAGGTTGGTTAAAAATGCATCAAATAAATATCCCGAGCAAGAAATAAATACATGAATTATGTTATTTTTAAAAATAATTCCACCATAAGAAAGTTCACTTAACCCATGGCAAATACATGAAACTATATAATCCCTAAATAAGTAAATCTACAGCAGATATGATATTTTTTATATAAAAAATGATCCATTTTTGCAGAAAAATATTACATTAAGTGACTTTTAACAACCGAGTCCAAAGTAAATATAAATATATCAAACAACAAAAATAATATCCATTTGTTTTCCAAAAATATTATATGCATACTTGTATATACTACATACATGCATATACATACATACATATGTAATTGAAGCTTTGAAACCGCTGAAGCGATTTTCGGCCGATATTCTCTTCCAATTTATGGTAAGTTGTGTTTTTTTTTTCGAATAAATGAAGGCACCAATAGTTTTTTTCACGTCGGAAATAAACTTGGACGGCTTGGCTTGGCCCTACCGTGTGGCGACCACAATTAGAAAAATTAGTTTTCTATAATTTTTGCAGTTGGTCGAACGAGTACACGAACACTAGCCTTCAGAATGTTAGTGTGCAATGCTAACCACTCGGTTATTGTGGTCGCCATTATATATTACTACATATGTACACACATACTAGACTAGTGCTGTGGTTATACCTATTGCATATTAATAATTTTCAGATAAATCAACTAAATTTGTAGCATTATAGTGCAGTGTATTGAAACGCCAATCGAACACACACAGAATATGTGAAGCATTTCGTTGAAAACTTGTAACTTTGCGTTCAGACCAGTCTGCGAAAATGAAAATGTGACAACGACAATAAACGCAACTCCAACAGAGCAAGTGCAGCAATTTCTCTACGATTTCTGGTACACCGATCCACGCCTTCTTCGCGTAGTTGATTCACCATATTTTTATTGCTATTGCTACGATGCCAACTTTGCAACCGGACCAAACAGCGTCTGCCATCTTGGGGAGTCAGGGTTCGATGACAGCATCACCCTTTTATTTCCTGCAAAAGTTGACGATTCAGTCAGCAAAACTCTTGCTAATCACTATTCAGTATACTGAATACATACATACATATGTTTTCTTTTTTTAATATTCATCAGCGATAAATACGCGTTCTAGTGCATCCAATTGAATGTATGTGAATTCGTATGTATATATTGTATGTATGCTACGTAAACAATATTCAGTCCTCGTGCGCCTGCTTATGCATGGTTCCTAAAGGGTGTAATACTGTTGTCACATCACATTTGCGCTTATTAATAGAATTTAGTTCACTATTCAGCATCAGCAAATTCGTTTTTTATTTACTTCTTTAAATAACCCATAAAAAATATGTTCAGTAATGCAAGTAAACAAAGCTGCACATGTACATACATATTTATATGGGCATAAAAGTGCATTCGTGAATGTATATATACAAATATGTATGTATGTACATATATTCGGATTTGCTTTGGTGATGCACCAAATTTTCAGACAGCGCGCATAAACTTTAGCGATGCAGCTGTGCAGGGTGCCATGTGTAACTGCAAGTATAAAACAGTTTCAACTCACGCTATACATCTGCAGCCATGCATATATATGTATGTACGAATGCCCAGCAAAATTTTTTTTGACCTTATGGACCATTGGAGTAATCCAATAGGTACTCCTTTGTAGTCAACTATTGGGACAACTCGCGTATGGGTAGCCATTGATTGGTCGTATTTCAACGATCTTTTGTTCGTATAAGGATAATGACATCTAATTCAGTCAGTTTCGTTCCGTTGGTGCACTCTGGACATATAGAAAAATAATAAGTTTTATACAGAAAAGTATGTAACTATATGACCATGCAAATAGAAGACATGCACCACTGTATGTACTCTATGGTATAATTTTTGAATTTACGTGTATTTCAAAACTAGTTTCATGTATGTACTCCATGGAGTACTCTAATGTTATGCGGTGATGGAGTATAGGGTCCAACCCTGGGACAAGACAATGTTAATGGGACCATTGTGTGTGGAGTATATATATTTTGGAGTAGCTGTATTGTTTGCAAGATATATGTATATACATATAAATTAAGAAGAAAAGCGGGAGAAAATTTAAGAATAACAAATCGTATATTTCAAAGGAAAGACACCGATGTGCCAACTAAAAGCGAGCGTCTTTTAAGGCTTTTAAAACGCTTCCATACGACTCGGGGTGCTCTAACATCATTATGTTAGCGTTACGTACAGTGATGGAAATGGTTTATACAAACAGCATTTTTCTTTAATACTTTCTGGTATAGTGTAAATATTGAAATTTAAGCTTCAGTTACATATGTATGTACATACATACTCTTTTCATATTAAATATATGCATGTATGAGAAAAATTTGTTTCAATGTTTTTTATAATATTACATATATGTACGTATGTATGTATGTACACATATGTATGCTTATGCATTGATTCTTAAAGTCCATGAACCCGATATAAAGGTAATAATAAGCATAACGGTTAATTATCAAAATGTATTTATTATTAACAAACAAAGGCATTTATAAATAGAATTACTTATACCTTTTTGCAAGAATTGTCATTATTTATCGCAACATAAGTAATAATTAAAGAACAAGCTTCTCCTTTTTTTTCTTGGTTTGACCTGACCTGGAATCCATGATGCTACGATGGTTATAACATTGTTAATTATTGAAAAGATTCATGCTTTTTGACGTCGCACTGATAATAAGATAAGGAATCTCTGCCGGGTTTACTAATACACTCACATGATTTCGGACAACACTAATTCATAGTTTTCTTATCTATCTTTCCCTTCTGACAACATACAAATTAAAAGAGAGAGGAGCGAACGGATTATTCGTTTTAGATAATATAACATCATGAAAGATCGTATTTTTTTTGTTTTCTATGTACTTGTTAAGAAATGTAATGTCTTTAAACTGAAAAAAATATTCTTTAGATTTCTCTTCAAAATGGTTTTTCATCTCACTGACGTCTGAGAATCTTCATCTCCGTAACTACTTTTTTTCAATTTGAAAAGAGAAAAAAATCGCTGGGAGCCAGGGAAAGACATTCCTCGCAATCCGAATGGTGTGGTTCGTTGCCTTGAAGTTACCACGCCTCTCCTATACGACTGCCTTAAGCGCCTGACTCAAGAAATTAGTGTAATACTGGCCGTTCATTGTAGTTCACTTTGGCAAGTAATCAATTAATTACATTCCCTCGATATTCTAGTAAATGGCACCCCTAATCTTCGACGCCGCCCTTTTCACTTTGAATTCTACAATGCGGTTACAAATTTCATCCAAATCATCTTGGCACAACTCCAAAAAACATTTACAACTTCCCAATCGTCGCTGCTTGTCGAACGGAGTGAGCAGTCGCAGTGCCCAACGCGCACTCATTTTTCCATATTCAAATGCTCAAGCAATATCTCTCCAATCCGTTTTTGCTAATCTGCAATCCTTCTGCGACACGATTTAATATTTTGAACAGTCAGTACTAACTTTTCGACTCTCTGAACATTTTCCTCGGTCACAATCGTCTCTATGCGTCGCGGTGGTCATCTTAAAGCCCCAATTTCTCACGATCTTATATGAAAGGGCATAGTTTTAAAAATTTCTTTCGGCGTTGACATTGTGTTGTTGCTTGTTCCAGGAACGAAATGTCAATGAACCTAACACAAAAAAAAAAATTGTGTTATATGTATATACTAATAAGGAGTCCCGCAATTAGTATTATCAGTAACGAGATGATGTATCATCTCTAACCACCTTAGGTCGCGAAAAAGTCAGCCGCTCCTCGTGTGCATGTACATGTTCGTATTCAGAGACCTTTTATAAAAGTTGATATGGCATGAATGTTATCACCCATCTGTGCTCGGTACGTATGGTATCTCCGCGTTTGTCCAGATTGATTTATTTTGTTATCAAATGCCCGAAAAAGCGAAGAGAGATTGTAGTCCATGTAAAGAAGTAAATAATAGCGTCTCCCATTGGAGATTTAGAAATTCGATTGAATGATTAATGGGCAAAAAATTATTTAGATCTGAAATTCCGCAGAGCTACCACCTGTCTTGAAATTTAGATTTGAATAAAGTAATGAAAAAAATTGAACGAAATATTACGATATGGCTAGAAGAAATGAAGGAAAGGTTTAAAAAAAAATACTTTCGAACAGCGCTGCCACCGGTTAAAAATTGAATTCCAATTTTAAAGGATTAATAAGATACATTATACACAGGTACGTAACATATTGTATGTTACTAAATGAGTATCGCGACATAGCATAAGGAGAATTAAAAAAAAAAAACTTTATTGTATTATAATTTATTTATTATTACTTTTTCATTTAGATTTGATTTTCTTAGCTATTTCTTGAAAGTACAATATGTATTTACCCTCCTATACGTATTTCATTTGTCTTGCAAGGAAAGCATAATTATTAAATAATTGTGACTTTTGTGAAAATTAAAAGCACAAAAAATCATCAATTACACAATATTACCTGTTGACCTAGACGGGGTTAGGTCGCCGAAAGGGTGACAGCCCTTGGCCGGATAAAATCCGGGTCAACTCCGTTGCGTAGAACCGGCTGTCGTGAGAGTTGCGTAGAACCGGCTGTGAGAGAGGCACCTAATAGAAGCTGAACCTCCTCCTAGGCACATCAGAAAGGTAGTACTAGACTTAAAGGATACAATCCAGCAATATGTACAACAACCGCTGGACAGGACGGCGTACAGACTAGCACTGAACGCCATTCACCAGGAGTCAGTCAACACCTTCAAGGACTCCCTTCCAGTGAATGGCGTACTCAGTGAAAAACCACCACCTATAGCAGACAACAAGCTCGAGCTGCCTCGAGAGACCCGCGTGACCCTGACACAACTTGGGTCTGGATATTGTAGCAGGTTAAACTCCTACCTATCCAGACTAGACCCCAGCATGTGGAGAGTCT